GGAGTTCTAGCGTCGAAACATGTAGAGTCGTCAACTTTTTGAAGGCCATAGATACCCCTAAATAAAATGTTTTTAATTGTGCACCAGTTTAACGTTGAATATTATTTATGATTTTAACTTTATACACAAGTGCCAAAATACTATAATTTACAATAGCATCATTAAATTAATTTACAAATAATAGCCCTGAAGTTTATCGCTGAGCCACCAGGAAATCTGTATAACACTATGTATACTTATAGTGTTTAATGAAAATGATATATTTAGTCATTGAAATCTATTAATAAATGAATACTTACCTCAAACAGAAGTTCTGATGTCATGGTGATTCCGCAAACCGCTAAGTCGCCAATTGCAAGGTTAAGAATGAAAATATTTACACGTGATGAACGTTTTCGGTAACGTAGTTTAGAAAGTACTAGTACTATGATGGTATTTCCTAGTAAAGTGCCTGCCATGATAACCCCTAAAGTTACCACTCGCTGAATCAGTGTAACATTCCAAATAGCGCCCTCTGGGTACATTTCCGTGTCGTTCGGAAACAGTGAGGTGTTCCAGTTATCTCTGACAGTAACGTTAAATGTTTCTACAGGTAGAATTACTATCATGATTACAAAAGGTAAGGCTGGATAGCTGGGAATAGTCAGGTAGGACAGGTAGTCCATGATTTTATTTTCTTGTTGGAATACGTTTTTTGGTCTAAACTAATTAATAGTGACAAAATAACTCATTTTTTTCTCTGCTTCAAGATGTCCAGTGCGTGAATGGATTTTCTGAGATTATAGAAACGACAACATACCCTGGAAAGAAATATAATTTCCAAATGTAGATCACAAATATTATGTTCTTCATATAAGCTAATCATTACTAAATGAAAACACAAAAAACATTATTGACCAATATTTTCAAGTTTTGAAAACCTTCTCATGTAAAACTCCTGTAAAATATACTAGATATATTACCTAAGTTATAAATATCCACAGGTACACATTTTGTTTGAAACTCCAAATACTTGGATTCATAAACAAAGATATCTGAAGTTTAAATATTTTGTTGATATGACATAACACGTGAAAGCAAATGATACAGATCAAATATCTATTGTGTAACGCTCAACAAGCATCAAAGTTATATCTGAAACCCTTTGGAGACTGCTCGACTTTTAACTTCTAATTAAGGGATAAACAAATACACCAAGTTTGCTGAGCTTTCTAGTAGTGAGCCACAACCTTCTTTCTAATACCTCCATTCGGACAAAGTACAGATTATACACTGCACTTAAAGCAGATAAATGTTTAAACAATAAATTTAACATAGCCTTTGTCATTTATCTTATCATTTGACGAAAACTGATAAAGAATCTCTAATAATTCTAAAGTGGGTATCGAACATAGATAGATAGATGAATGGATGGATGGATCGACGACCGGAGGATAGATAGATAGATAAAATACCAAAATGTAGTTGCCAAAGACGGTAGTGTAAAAAAACCCCAAAAAAACAGAGGTTAGTCTTTGGTTGGAGAGATTATATGTGTATAAACACAAGATAGTAGCTATTATGCTATGAAACCGATTCATAAAAAGGCCATTAAAATTTATTGTACTCGAGAGACATAAAAAATAATAATATATCTAATCAAAGACTGAATCAATTTCGATTGAGGCAACCAACCGTCTACAGTTTTTATGATTTATTTTTTCTATATTTTCTGTGGTAACTAAAGGATTCTTCTGAGAAACATATTGTTCTCAGTACTTCTTATGTTATAATTGTGGGGTAGAATGGTTATTATGGGCGACCGTAACGTTTAAGTCACGTCTATGTGGGCTAATTTCCTTTTATTTTATGTGCAATCATCGATAGGTTTTCGAGTCTATTTACTTGTTTAATGTTTTCATAAAGAACAAGAGAGACCAAGAACTGCAGTAACAATAAAGTCGTGACATTCTACGATAGGAAAGGAAAACTCATTCGTGTTCTTCTATATAAATAATGTTTCAGCACGACATGGTGGTTAGCTTTTCTTAATCCCAACTTGTAATGCTTGCCGCTTCTTACTCGTATTTTTTAATAGCCAAATATAAACACATTATACACATAAATTTAGTAATATATATATAATTATTAATTCCTTTATCTTGCATCATTATATTTTTTGTAGTCGGAACATAAATTGTTGGCTATTTGCTGTTTCTGTCATCACCGTGCTCTTTGCAAAGTTCATTTTTACTGAATAAAATTATTCGTTCCTTACTCATCACATTCATAAGTTACTGTTTACAGAAGCTCCAGTTCGTGCTTCCTCTATAAACCTTTGAAACATATATGTATTTTAAACTTCAAAATTTTATCATCTGTAGTGGTATTATCAATGTAATATAATCGTTGAGGTAAATATTGACACCGCTATAATGAATTACACTTCATCACGGCTAAAATGATTGTGAAGAAATACAAAGTGCTTATACTATAAACATCCGTTTAAATGCTTTCAAAATTAAATTATTAAAACAGGAATGGTACAAGACTTCGTAATGAACCAAAAAATGTGATTCATTGCCGGAATCTGGCTGTTTGTTACATCTGAGAAGCTCCTATCCTTAGCTTTTGATGTAATACATATTAAGTTTCATTATTGATTACCTGTCTTACAAATGCAAAAACAAACAATATCATTGTGAAATTCGTGTAATTAAGGCCTAGAATAACAGTTGTTTCTTAATTTCATTGAAACTCTTCTCACTGTGTTTTTGTTAATGATGTAATGATGTATGTACGGGCGTTTAGCATCGGTTTCTTTATTTATTGTTAAGCACAATGCTACACAATACGCTATTTATGATGTGCCCACCGTGAGTATTGAAAACAGAGTTTTAGTGTTATAAGCCTTCATACTTGCCTCTGAGCTACTGGGGGACCCGAACCTTTAGCACTTAGATTCTAATAAATTTTAATGAACATTTCCTGAATTTTCTTGCATTGCTATTATGTTATATGCTACATAATTCATCATATAATAAATTGATTGCTAGTTTTGGATCACCTTGTCTACACGTAATGGTATGAAATAGATCATATAGGATCACATCATTAGATGAATGAAACATAATCAGTTTTTACACGTTTTAATTTTGTAAATAATTGAAATATAGTACAAATAAGCAATAAATACTCGAAAAAAATGTTTTTGTGTTTTCAACTAACTAAAAGCTATAACAAAATCGTCCATGGATGCTAAAATTAGCTTGCTCGATGATGATAAGGTTTAACTGGATATGCAACATGTGCATAGCACATGTTTCAGCTCAAGGAGTTTACAGAACGTAACCTCTAAATGAATAGAAACAACATTCATAAAGAAAGCACTAATTTGGAATTATGGACCGCTATTCTAAAATACCAGACCTTATGATAAGCTTTGATAGAATTTGTTCGGACAACAGTAATTGAGTTTTGTTTTTCTTATTGTACCACCAAAATTGTTTGTTTTTACGGAAAAAACATGTGAGGCGCGATCTGTTCTTGGATTTGCTACACGTCACTTAGACCAGTTTCTCAAAACTCTATTTCCTAAAACGGCATTTTAAATACCATATACATTACTATTATGTTTATAATTACTTATCAACAGATAAAAGTCAATATGATGCATTTAATATGCGAAACTCGCTAGAAAAGTAGCTTTCTATTTCAAGTAACCTTGCCCTAGTATATTTGTCTGCTTCGTTTCGTTCAACACCTATTTCTCCACACATAAGGTTCGTATTGAAGTGGATTCGTAAAACTTACTTTATTTTCCTGAAACTATAAGTAAAAAGACTTGGTTTTAACTGATGTGGACAAACTATACAGATCAGTATATCACACGAAGAACATTCGTCTCATCCAAGTTCCTTATTAAAGAATGCTATGTACTTTAAATCATTATCAAAGAATGCTGTATGCTGTAAGTCATTATTAAATAATGATGTGTGCTATAATGTACTATTAATGAATACTATGTGCTATACCTCACTATTAAAGAATGTTGTGGGCTGTAAGTCATTATTAAAGAATACTGTGTGCTATACCTCACTATTAAAGAATGCTGTGTGCTGTAATCTACTATTAAAGAATAATGCGTGCTATACCTCACTATTAATGAATTCCGTGTGCTAATCCTTACTATTAATGAATTCAGTGTGCTATACTTAACTATTAATGAATGCTGTGTGCTGTAAGTCATTATTAAAGAATGCTGTGTGCTATAATCTACTATTAATGAATAGTATGTCCTATACCTCACTATTGAAAACTGCTGTGTGCTATACCTCACTATTAAAGAATTCTGGGTGGTGTAATCTAGTATTAATGAATAATGCGTGCTATACTTCACTATTAAGAAATGCTGTCTGCTATAATCTACTATTAATGAATAGTGTGTGCTATACCTCACAATTGAAGAATGCAGTGTGCTGTAAGTCATTATTAAAGAATGCTGTGTGCTATAATCTACTATTAATGAATAGTGTGTGCTATACCTCACTATTGAAGAATGCTGTGTGCTATACCTCACTATTAAAGAATGCTGTGTACTATAATATACTATTAATGATTAGTGTGTGCTATACCTTACTATTAAAAAATGTTATGTGCTGTAAATCATTACTAAAGAATGCTGTGTGCTATACCTCACTATTAAAGAATGCTGTGTGCTGTAAGTCAATATTAAAGAATGTTGTATGCTGTACCTCACTATTGAAGAATGCTGTGTGCTGTAAGTCATTACTGAAGAATGTTGTGAGTTGTAACTCATTACTAAAGAATGTTGTGTGCTATGCCACACGATTAAAGAATGATGTAACTCATTACTAAAGAATGTTGTGTGCTATACCTCACTATTAAAGAATGCTGTGTGCTATATCTCACTATTAAAGAATGCTGTGTGCTATACCTAAATATTAATGAATGTTGTGTGCTTTAAGTCATTATTAAAGAATGATGTGTGCTATACCTCACCATTAATGAATGTTGTGTGCTGTAAGTCATTATTAATGAATGCTGTGTGCTGTAAGTCATTATTAAATAATGTTGTGTGCTATACGTCATTATTAAAGAATTCTGTGTACTATACCTCACTATTAATAAATGCTGTATGCTGTAAGTCATTATTAAATAATGTTGTGTGCTATAATCTACTATTAAAGAATGCTGTGTGCTCTAAGTCATTATTAAATAATGTTGTATGCTATAATCTACTATTAAAGAATGCTGTGTGCTCTAAGTCATTATTAAAGAATGGTGGGTGCTATACCTCACTATTAAAGAATGGTGGGTGCTATACCTCACTATTAAAGAACGCTGTGTGCTGTAAGTCATTATAAAAGAATACTGTGTGGTATGCCTCATTATTAAAGAATGATGTGTCCTATACCTCACTATTAAAAAATTCTGTGTGCTTTAAGTCATTATTAAAGAATGCTGTGTACTATAATCCACTATTAATGAATACTGTGTACTATACCTCACTATTAGAGAATGATGTGTGCTTTAAGTCATTATTAAAGAATGCTGTGTACTATAATCCACTATTAATGAATACTGTGTACTATACCTCACTATTAGAGAATGATGTGTGCTGTAAGTCATTATTAAAGAATACTGTGTGCTTTAAGTCATTATTAAAGAATGTTGTGTACTATACCTCACTATTAAAGAATGTTGTGTGCTGTAAGTCATTATTAAATAATGCTACGTGCCATATCTCACTATTAATGAATTTTGTGTGCTATACCTCACTATTAAAGAATGCTGTGTG